AAAGAAGAATGGTGGGGAGTCCAAGTGACTGTCCCTTGTTTTTCTGATTAAAAAAAAAAGGCAGGGGGGTAGGAAGCGGAGACATAAAACATGACCATTATCCACATGGGAAGATTAAATAGAAGAGAGTACTAGAGGAGAGGCCCACAGTGTGACAGATCAAAAGAGCAAGGCCTCTGGCTGTTAAGATAAAGAATGTCCTAGTTTTTGAGAACATATTTGTGTGTGTGCGCACTGGATTTTTTACAGGGAAATAGTTTTATTCAAAGAAAGGTCTGTTTCTACCATAGGAGCTGTTTAAGGAGGAAATAGTGGGTGAAAATACAACTTTCACAGCCAGTGCTATAAGAAACGTCTTGTGCAAATGAGAAGGGCATCCATTATTTTAAATTAGAAGATTAATTGGAAAGTTGGGGGAAACGGAGGCTGTCTGTTTTCGCTCCGGGTTGGCAACTCCTGTAGAGTTCAGCGTGTGGTTTGGCCGTGCAGTACATCTGCTTGTGTAGACATGCATGTGGTGTCCCATGGATTGCACGGAGTTCTTGCTGAGCTTAAGCCAAAGTGTGTAGAGGGCTGAGGAATCAAATACTCTTGCAGTCAGCCAAAACACTGCAACTGTGGTTCAGGCTGTGTTCCCATCCCTGCTGCAGGAATGGCTGTGCAGGTCGAAGGTGTTACTGCTCCTCTTGTGCTTGAAGATGCCTTGCAGTGTAAGATGGGAGAGCAGCTTACAGGAACGTTTCTCACGTGTTGTGTTGTAAAGTTGTCCAGTTTAGGACAGAAGAAGTTCCATCATCTCAGTTAAAATGTTCCAGCGTGGTTGTCTCATACCATACGCTGTCAGGAATCAAACTACCGTCATCTGAAGCGGATGAGGAATGTTCTCCAGCTGTATGGCAGAGGCAGTGACCTCCAGCACCAGGCTCTGTGTAAAGAGGTTATGACCACTAGCCATCTAAACAGCAACAGCCTTTATATTGCAAACAGCCTCAGCTTGAAGAGACTGAAATAGAGGTAGAAGTAGTGATTCCACAGACTATACCATGTACCTTGGATAAACTTCAGGTTACAGGTATCTCTTCTTACATGCTGTCATGCTCGGGTGTACAAAGAGTTTGTAAAATGGCAGAAGTTTACCTGTGCAGTTTTATAGGACCTTGCAAAGTACAGGGCAGCAGAGAAACGTGTATCCAAGGGGTTGGCTCTTGGCTGGTCTGAGTCAGTTCTACAAGAGGAACTTGATGAGTTAAGTAACTATTCCTGGTTTTACTTTGCTGTTTGTGAGACTAAAACAGGGTGGCAGTTGAGCTGTGTAGATGGCGTGGCATCTGCTGGGAACGGATCAGGTCAGACTACCTCATCGTTCCTGCTCCCACTGCGTCCTTGCAGGGTGCACAGTGAGCTGCCTTTCCAGTTGTTTTTCCAGCAAGCAGCAGCAATAAAATTAAAACTTCGTCCAGCAAACTGGTATCACTGCTCAGGCTTGGAGAAGTAGAACCTATCAGAAAGTATTGGGAAGATTCCTGGTCAGTGGGAGTTCAGGCAAACAAAGATTGATTCTAGATCCTTTGTCTCCCAGAGTGTTAATTTCGGCTCAGAGAGACTGCTGCAAGGAGAAGATTTTGACACAAAAATCTAGTTTCTGTTTGCTGTATTGTTAGACACCCCCCCCTCAATTAATAAAGATTAATATTGATTAACAAGAAAATCACTATATTTTTGTGGGGAAAAATGCTTCTGGCAGTCTTCTGTTTGAATACAGAAATAAAAGACGTTGTTGGCACAAGAATAAACAGATATATAAAAGGTTTTGTGTACATTTAATTAGGAAAGTGGAGGGAGGAAAGTGTGTATGTTAATTTAGCTTTTAAACAGCAGCGAGCACTAAGACAATTTGGGATGTGGTACAGGGTGTAACTTAAATTCAGTACGAAGCACACTCCACTCCCTTTTCCATTCTGTCAATTCCAAACTGTCTTGTCTCCATTGTCATTTTAACGTGAGAGAAAGCCTCGATTTAGATCCCCCCCTCCTTTTTTTTTCTCTCTAGTGAATACCTAATCATCACACTGATTTTCAACTGAGTATTGACTGTGAGACTTGCTGGCCTAATTTTTCCTGTGAACTGTAATAGCAATAGCTGCTGATTTATTTATTTATTTATTTAAAATTTGAGATACACAGGATGTTCAGACATGCAGATGTATTTTGGGTTAATTGACTAATAGTCATCCAAGACCCAGGGCATCTCCTTGAGATTAACGTACAAAGTGATAGGTCAAAAAGCTCCAGGTCCGTTACCCTGTGAGATACTAGTACTCCCACAATTAATTTCATTTTCATGATTGCATCATCCTAAATCGAGGTGAAATGAAGTATTTTTCGTTTTTTTTCTCCCTCCAGCTGAGTTTGACTGGCACAACTTCTGACATGGGTGTACGGAGGCTGGTACCATGGCCAAGTCAAATCCTTTTCTTTGTTCTCTGGGCCTGCTGCTGCTGATAAAGTGGTCGGCGCATGGCATTATGTCTTATTACATTTTTGATGCAGACTGCAAAGAAATGGGTAAACTCACCATGGTTACGCCGATCTGTCATTTGGCAGGGCATGCCGCACTCAGCGATGGCCTCTAGTGTCTGCAGCACAGCTCTGCATGTGTGGGGGTACAGCAGACAATGCTGCGCTCCCAGCCACGCAGCTCGCCTGATCCGACTGCTGAATCCAGGCGGGAGCGATGCTCGGACTCCGGCGGCAGCTTCTTCTTGCTCACAGAAAAGTTCTTGTTTGTTTTTGTTTGTCGGTGTTGACCGAGCCACTGCTGGGTTCCAGCTCTCATGCTGACACCAGCTACTGTCCGCTGCGCGCCGTGTGCTGCTGGTGTTCACATCTGGGAAACTTTCCTGGTCAGATTCACTGCTTTGTCCTGGCACATGGCGTTTCTAGTAGAGTTTCCTTTCTTATCGGGACATGCCCTGCTGTGTTGTTTCATACAGACCAGGCACGTGTCATTGCTGAAGTCAGCTCATCTGTACTGTATTACCATTAACCAGTATGGTGGTGGTACATTATTTTTTGTTTTGCGTGGGCTGCAGCTAAGGTTTGCTCACTGTGTGAAGCAGGATTCCCCAGCCTGGTCATCAGACTCCTGGCCTTAATTCCCAACCAGTTTGGAGCTTCCAGGGCTTATATGTGACTGCTTGCAACAAGAGTTCAGGAACAAGTCTTTGCAGGATGGGTCTTTTGTTTTATTGTAGACGAGGAGAAATCGCTTAAGTCTTTCTCTGCTTAATTGAGGTAATTAAACCATCTTACCTTCCAGCACAAGGAGCTAATTAATGTTTTTGAAGCATTTGGAAGTCCTTGGAGGAAAGACGCTGTTTGCTGTTGTGTCATGTTTGATAACTGTTGAAATTCAGTCGTCTGGGCTTGAAATGTTGACTTGAGTTGTACATGCAGAAATCTGACAATTGTACATGTATTTTGAGCTGATAATCCGAAGAACTAATTGAGAGAATAGCTGACAACTGTGGTGTTCCTTCACAGTGTCATACTCTGTAGGTGTGTTGTTTAGTTTTTTGGGGTTTTACTATGCTTTAGCAAAACATGAAACCTTAGCAATGGGAATGCAGATTGTAAACCGCCATAAAATCGAGCAGCTTAGTTAAAGACAAAGAGAAACCTTGTTTTTTTTTTTTTAAGGTGACCTAGTGACCAGCCCAATTTACCTTTTTTAGGATTTCGTACTCAGTTAACTAGTTAAAATTAAGAACACACTCTCTTCTTGTAATGAAGGCAACACTACGATGATATTCTCTGATTACTTCTGAAATGGAAAGAGACTTCCCAAGTGAGGACAAGAGTCTGTTCCACTGTGTTCAGCAGTGCTTTTTACAGTGTAACTGCTGGCTTGTTCTTTTTTTTAGGGAGGAGAAAATATGAACGAAATCATCTGCAACTATAAAACAAAGCCAGAGATTCACATAGTTCTGAGCCCCAGTGACTTTTAGCATCAGTTTAATTTAGATTTAAATGAAGGCTGGTAAATGAGATCTGTTCTTCGTATGAAAGACAGTTGGGAATTTTCAGCAAAGGAGTTTGTAAGGGGAAAGATTTTTTCAGACAGCAGGCAGTCTGTGTCTGTGCCCACAGGCAAAGACAGCAGCATCAGTGGATGCAGGGGCACTTCAGCTGCAAGAGTGAACAAGTCGAGCGGTGTAATGCTCCCTTGGTCCTGAGCGTACAGCCCTTAACCAGCAGGTCCTCTAACACTGTTGTGAAATGGGCAGCGTAATTAAACCCCCTAAGAAAAATCTAAAAGTTGTTTCTCAAACCCAAATTCTTACCATTGGGGGGCGAGGCGGAAGAAGTGTTTTGATTGCTCACTTCTGGAGCAGTTTGGCAATGATCACATTAGAGTCTTGTTTCTCTAACTCTTAGCTGGCTCAAAACCCTGTAGGTCTGAAGGTAATCTTTTATCACTTTAGAAAAAGTAACCATAACCCAAAGTGATGTTATTTTTCCTTTAGTTTACTTACTCAGCACAGTACGACTGGCTAACAACGTTTGATATCACACAAAGAGGAATAACGGTAGTACTCTTCACCTCTTATGTCATACAGTGAGCAGCAGATCTACCTCAACTGACTGTTCCCTATGAATAGTTTTGGCATTGGCTGAAAATAGTACTGAGGGTAACTTGCATTGACCATGTGATGACACTTTGAGTTGCAAAATTACTTTCGGGTAACTTGCCCTGAAAAAGTAAAAATAGCACAGTACATCAGACTCATCTATGTGGAATGTAGATATGCAAAAATAGGGCTCCTTAATATTTACAGTTTGTCTAGGCAGAACAACCTGTCATGTTACACTCTGTTTCACTTTTAGGCAAACAATTTGCACTGATAATGTTGCAGGCTGTGCTATTTTCAAATGTACAGCAAATGTTAGAGAAGCATTAATTTAACCATTCTCTTCCTAGCAAACAATGTGACTCTGAAATGGCATTAGCGGGCTTAGACAAAGGTGAGCAGTCGCAGCGTTGGAAAAATGCAGTCTGAAATGCGTCCCAGTGCAACAGACTAATTAATCTTTAGATAATAACAGATCTTTTTTTCTTTTCTCTCTGCAGCTGGGGGCGTTCACTCTCCCTCCACAAGTATGGCAACATCTGCGCAATATAGACAACTCATAAATGACTACGGACCCCCGTCCCTAGGCTATACACAAGGGATGCAGGTACAGCTCTGCTTGTTGTTTTTCTTTAATCACATCACTGACCCTACGTTTGCACAGTCGCATGGATTGGGGCCTGTAATCTGAGGTGTTCCTCCCTCCCACCAAGATGGGAAATCAAACCCGAATGGCAGACTGATTCATCGCACATGTCTTGGGATCAAATTAGACTAAGCAGAGTGCTGAGTGAGATTGGTTACTAATTAACTGTTAGTCCCATCCCATCTGAGTCACAGTGAAACATGTCTTATGTTCTGATAGTTAGGGCTCTGACATATTTAAGAATTATCTGTTAAAAAAATCCGTATTTCTATATTGTTTTTCTTCAGCAAATTTATACTCTAAAATTTAGCCTCATGAAGTGTGTCACAGACAGTCCTATGGGCTGCTTCAGGAATCCAGCAGTAAACTTCCTGTGAAATGTATTGAACTTGGTAATAGGATTTCCCTTATCCTATGGGCCGTTTTGTTTTATCTACTTCTCGCTCTCCCTCCCTAGCTAACTTGCCCCAAAAATATACACCGTAAACGTTGAAAAAGCAGAAACAGAGTTAAATAAGCAGTTCTCAGTTTGCTGTTCTTGCAGGACTGTTTTCACTTCTGTTTCACCTAAGGTCCCAGACATGCAGCTGCATCCTACCAGTTGATCCCGATTTTTGAAAGGCACATAACATTGTGTTCAACTGTAGCAGTAACTGCAAAAAGAAAATCCTTTACATAATAAATGTGATTTTTTTTTTTTTTTTTTTTTAAAAAAAGTGGCTTCCAGAGGTATTTCTGGTCCTCCATGAATTCCCAGTTGCTGTTTGTTGTAATGGTTTTGGTTTTAGCAGTATTTAATTGAGATTAATCTACTTTCAACTACAGGGCACCAGCAGCAGTCAAGTACCGCAGAGCAAATACGCAGAACTTCTAGCCATCATAGAGGAATTAGGAAAAGAGATTCGACCCACATACGCTGGGAGTAAAAGTGCGATGGAGAGGCTAAAAAGAGGTAACATTTAAATTTATTAAAAAAAATAAAATTGTGTCACATACACTTTGTGCACTACTTGTACACAGCTTCATGACAACTGTTGCCTTTGAAAGGAGACAGCTGTCCTGAGCTCATCATTAAACTAGGTGTATTAACAACTGAAACCTTGGCATTCTCTATTCATATGTATTTGACAGATAAAGCAGTGACCAAATGTATTTCATGTGCACAAGGGGAGCTTCAGTTAGTAATTCAGACCTTGTTTAGAACCCTTAAGGTGTCTAATGGATATGTGCTTCTAGGATCCTGGTGACTGACTTGCCCCTTCAATTCCCTTTTCTCTGCAGTGTCCAAAATATACAGCCAAACATTGTTTACTTTTCCTCGTATACATCACCCATCTACTTGACCCAAGAGTCTTCTAAATGCACTGAAGTGCATTTTGCCTGAAGAAATACCACGTTGTGGTAATTCACACTAAGGCTGGTGGAGAGAAGAGCTGCAAAAAACCCCCAACCAAACGTGTCGTCAGTGAAGGCTGTTCAGACTGAGATGTCAGATACACATGTTCTTCCTCTCTGTGGGGTGTCAGGCTGCTTAGGCTCCATTGCCTGTTGTCAAGTGGATTCATTAAGAATCCACTGGTCACAGGGACTGGGAAGCTTTTAGGCCTCGCTGATGAGGTCTCTTTAGCTTTGCTTTGTCAGCTAAAAGGGGTAATAAATGCTCTTTCCTTGCAGTGTAAAAGAAACCCCTGCATGCCCCACTGCTGACATCAGCTTGACATTGTCCTCTGCAGGGGACATGAGAGGGATATTTCTGAAGGAGCAGTGGGACATTCCACTGTTCCAGCTCCTGAAATGACCCTGAAAGGCCACTGACAACAGTTGTGCTGGCAGTTCTGTCCTTTGCCAGTATATCGTAGTTACCTTTCCCTCCCTTTCCTTGGTCCTTGTGCCGAGTTTGGCTCACGCATCCAACCCTGAATGGGAGTGTTATTGTAACAGACTAACTTCACCACCTTGCAAATCCCCCTTACATTTACCCAAGACTACAAAGCTTTATTTAAGGCTCAACCATTATGGGAGAGTAATATATCTGCCATGACATGCAATAAAATGACTAGTAGCTGTTCTGGGAAAGGATGCAATAAAGTCTGCTGATGAGTGGTAAGTGGAATCTGGCCCAGCTAAAATCAATGCTGCTGGAGTCTCTCTTTATTGCATTGGCTGAGTCAGTATTAATAGATCATGAATGGCAATAGGCTAATGGGGACAATTCGAGAGAGACCGGGAGAGGTGCAGACGCTCTCTGAACCTGAATGGTTCAGTTTGGTGAGGAAAAGTTGGTTTGCTGCTTCTTGCAGTGAGTGTTAGTTGGCTAACATAGGTTTAAGATTCAGTGCTGCCACTGTGACTTGCCAGTGTTGCACAAATTCCCAAATAAATACTTTTTGCTGCCATCTTTTGGTCACAAACATACCTCTCTTTCCATTTTGGGAGCCTAATGGCTGAAGGAGCATGTGCAAGTGTGAGAGCAAGAGTGATTGAGGGTAGCCATGTGACTGCAGCCTCCATCGTCATGTGGAGGTTATTCCTGAATAAAGTCCCTGTCCTCAGCTCCACCCGTTCCTAAGCACAGAGGCTACTGACCTCTAAAACTGGCCAAATTCCCAGTGTTCTACATAATTCAGGGTAGTTCTGCTGCATAAACCGGGCGCCCTGCCACCAGATCCAGGTCTAATGCACTGCTCTGAGTACGTGTTTCTGCATCCCACAGCTGCGGGAAGCAGCTTGTCCGGGTCAGTTTAACCCTCTGCAAAGTCTTGCACCTGTCCAGTCCCAGGTCAGCATTCCTTGGATGTAAAGGCTATTGCTGTGATCTGGGCTAGCAGCCTTCTAGAAACAGAAGCCAGTATCTCTAAATAGAGATTAAACCTCATCTATTGCCTTATTGTCCTTATTCCACTTTGTTAAGAAGCGTGATTGAGCAGACAAATTGCCTTCTTCTATCTTGTCCTGTCAGTAGAATATAACCTAATTTGTTATAGAAAAATCGGTCCGTCTGTCATCTTAAAATCTACCTCAAGCTCTGTTCTTTCAGCAGCTCTGTGAACATGAATCTAGATTTAGTTCCAGGATTAAGCGTCAAGGTCCAGATTGCTGGAACTCAAGGCAACAGGACTTGTAGTGGAAAATTCCACATTATGTCTATCAGATGAGAGTAGATACGGCAGCGTGTAAAGTGGTGACGATTCGCACTGGGAGCTGAGCCAGTGTTAGGAGGTAACATTTTGCACACACCGTAAAAAAATATCTTCTTCCTCTTACAAGAGGCACAACTTGTGTTTAAGGAGTATTATGAAGGCTTGTGTTTTGATGCATCCTCTCAGAGGAGAACTATCCCAGTCTGTTCAGACTTCTAGAGCTTGCTAAAATGATTCCCCAAATAACTTCATTTTTTTTTCACTCCACTGTAGTAGCAAAGTAACTCACAGGTAGGTAAGAGGATTTTTTTTTTCCTTCTAGTTAAGTCTCTGATTTTAAACAGGCCTGCGCTGCACATTAAGATATACATATCACTGCAGACCTGCACATCTTAACCATGCTCTGATTCCTGATTTATTCCTTTTTTAATTTATAATGCCAGTTTGGGAAAGCAAACTTGTTTAGCAGCAGCAGCTGATGTTTGGGAAGTGAGGGATCTCCCCCTTTTCTGAGGCACGCTGTGGTAGCCTTGGCAACTCAGGACAGAAATACATAAACCTTTCTTTGAACTGTCGTTGCAAGTGTGACCTGAATGAGATGATTTAAAATACGTCCAATTCTTTTGCAGGCATTATTCATGCTAGAGGATTAGTTCGGGAATGCCTGGCTGAGACGGAACGAAATGCAAGGTCCTAGCCCACTAATTCAGTTGCAAGATTTTCCATCTCTTCATGAAGAAAAAGTAACACATGCTCCTTTTGACTCTTGAAACATTCAGACAAATTCTTTATTTTGAATGTTTTGCCTTTCTTTTTTTTCCCTTACAAAAATGTATAGTTAAGAATGAGAAAACAAGGATTTTTCAACTTACTGAGGGTTTGCATTTTGTAAAGATGTTAAAACTCCCTAAAATGTTTCTAAAACATGAAAACTGAACTGCATGCAGAGGAATGCTCTTTCTCTCCCAGGCTATAATTCAGTTCTCTTCTTATCCAGCCACAGTCTCATTCTGTTTTTTTCCTTTGACTATATTCACTTAACCCCAAACTGTCAATCTTCCAAAGTTTGACATAAGCTCTAAGGATTTTTTTTAATAAATGCAAAATAGCATGCTGTACTTCGTAGTCTGCTAAGTCACAATTTGTCATACAGCATAGACCCTGCTTAGAAATAACCTTCCCCTTCTCTTATTTTTCCTTTTTTGTTCGTTTTGCATAAACATTTGCATGACTGTTAGTGCTTTGAAGTCCATTTAAAGTGCATGAGTAATATGGAAAATAGGGAAACCTATTAAATAACAAGGTCCTGGAAAGCTAATTTCTACATTAAGGCTGGAGATTTCAGTTTAAAATTTGCCAAAAAAAAAAAAGAAAATTCCGGATAAATTACTAAAACTGTTATTTGCATCTTTGTATGTATTTATTACTTGACGTAATAAAGCTTATTTTCATTAACAGTTTGTATTAAAACTATGTACAGTCACTTCAATCAGATTCATACTCCATGAACAAGAACTGTGAACAGATAGAAATTTAACCTTCATGCAGGAGGCTCAAGTTCAGGAACAGACAAGGGAACAGGCCTGCAGGTTGCTGGTGAGTTTCCATGCGTGGCGCAGTCCGGATGCAGTCGATCTCTGTAAGGAGGCAGCATAGCTGCTAGTAGTCCCTGTTGCTTTCAGAATCCATACGATGGCTTTGGTTCTTGAAGCACTCTCCCTTCTCTGTTGAAGGCCAGAACTTGGTGGCAGGTGGAGAGGGTGCTGTCCAAAATCTAAAGAGAAGTTCTGGTTAGGCAATTGGGGTTCTTAACAGGATTAAACCAGGAACGTGTACTTCACTAGTGGCTTCAAAGTAACGGTAACAAAGAAGATGCAGCTGCATGTATTTGCGTAAAATGGGAAGCTGCCAAAAGGAGTGAAGACACCAAAATGCCCAAGCTTAACTGCAGCGTAGCATAAACAGAATAAATGACTAATTCACTACTGTACAATCACATCTAAAGCCCAAGATGGGATATCTGGGACATCTAATACATATGGAGCTATGGATACTTTAAGAAAATACAGTATTAAGAGGCAGAGTTAATTACGTCACACCTTGGATTCTGTTGCCTTCGGAGGCAGCTTTCAACACATGTTGTTCTTCATCAGCAATGACTGAATTTTACCTTGGAACTGAAGAACATGATTGACCAACCCTCACTTGAGCAATGCCTTCCACCCCAATGCTCACCACCACTCCAGGCAAGATTTGTAAAGCTTCTGTTTACCCTGCATTCAGAATCGAGCAGGACAGAGCATTTGTTCAGCTAACAGATGCGATGGAGGCGAGTGGTGAATGGTGTCTCTTCCATCAGCACGTCTGTTTACACCACCAGAACCAGCATCTGAACCTGGTCCCTGTTCATAAAGGATTTCTGTCAGCAGAGGCATTGCCTGAGTAAGGATGGAAAGTTAAAACCTTTTAGGGTTGTTCCCCTGATGTACTGGAACTCCTGTGAAGCATCGTAAGTTATCATCTGGGCAGGCAGAGATCTATGGAACATTTTTTTTGTCTCCATTAACAGTGGTGGAAGGTTTATTGTTCCTTTTTAACAAGGATTGGTTTATCACCTTCTGAACTTGGCAGAAAAAACGACTGCCGGATGTGATTAACGAGATGATGGCAGACAGACGTAGGGATACATGATTGCTTTTCTCACTTCAGTTTTACCATCACAGCAGGTATTTCAGTTGTAGGAAGCCCTGCATCATCTGCTCGTTTGAAAACTGGGTGTAAGTACCACGACAAATGCTTCCCTTCCTCTACTAGGGCAAGTCAGTATTTCACATTTATTTCTTATCCAATTGTTGCATCTCTTTAAAATGCTTTTTTCTTTCTAGGTTTTCCTTTGCTCTTCTTTTTTTCTCCTGCTTCTTCTTCTCTGATGCTTTCTTCTCTTTAAAAACATCACTATCTTCACCTTTGTAGAATAGGTCAACTTTTTGCTGCAGGATTTCTCTGGCTATCTTTCGGTTCTGCTCCACTGATCTTGTTTGATGACACTGAAGAAATAAAACAGGACATTTTTATTGAAACTTTAACCTGTTTATTCTTCGGCTTTCCCTTTCAGTCTACATATTCCTGCCATTACAGTAAAGAAAATCCCTTCTCCCGCAGCCAAGAGCATCCTCCTACCAAGAACTGTTATAACTTTTGTATCCCAATGATATATTTTGGAAAGACTGCCTAATAATTACTTGCTACTGTTAACTTGTCAGACTGGCTTTTGCATTGATCTTCAAGTCTGTCAGCAAACAAGATTGCTTCCATGTAACCTTGGAAAGCTGCTTCTGAGTTTAACTGGACTGTGTCTTCCGCTTGTGATAGGGAAGCAGAGATCAATTTCCAAGTATGAATCAACAAGAAGTAGGTGAGGGTAATGCTTAAGAAGAATCTGCAAAGCGAGTATCGTCGACTCGTTACAGAAGTCACTGTAACCGCCTCACAGGAGATCAGCTATGACCTCAGGTTTATTTATTTACCCATTGCCAAACCTGCTTCTCGCTGAGATTCTTTACAATCCAGATAAACTTTTCCTCCATGACATTTGCACTGCGATCATGTTTTACTGTGAAAGGAGACTTGGCAGACAAGACGCAATTTGTGACTTAGTGAAATAAACCATAATTACCTTCACTACAATACCAGATGGAATATGCTTCAGGACCACACAGTTGTTTGTCTTATTTGTGGCTTGACCTCCTGGGCCATCGCCTCTTACAAACTGTTCTTTTAATTCTGCCTCACTTAGTCCAAGGAGATCGAAAGAGGAGTTCTTTCCTGCTGCCTGAAGGAAGGGCACTCTGGGCAGAGAAAATTCCTGCTTCCTTAAAATCCGCAGTCTCCATGATGGTGCTCGTACTTCTCTCAGTAAGAATGTAAAATGAAATAAACTTGGAACATTCATACGGAAACGAGGACAGTTTCTCCGGTGTGAAACCTGAAATAGAAGTAAGGATTGGAGTTTACCATGAGAATCCCTGTTCTCAGGTGATCTAGTTCAGCTGCATGTCTTAAGCGGCATTTTGATACTCAGATTTATTTGCAAGGATATTTGAACTGGTTTCATAGGCATTTGCTTGAAATGTTTACCATTCCAAATGGAATTTCGGTTCTCATTGGAATTAGGTTTCTTAAAATGGTCAAGATTATTATTTTGTTGTTGAAAGGAATCTGGAAAACAGTAAATAAATTAATACCCCAACCAACACTTGGAAATACTAAAGATACAGGAAAAAAAAAGGAAAGAGGCTATTTCTGTCTTGCAGTCTGACTGGGGAGCCTTTGCTGATGCTCCACTCATGCCCAGGTTGTGTCTTGCTGGCAACAGTACCCACAGTTCACATGTTGATACATGCTTGAGCTACACCAAGGGAGGACAGGTGAGGGTGTGGGAGTCCTCTGAGAGTGCCTTGAACAGTGCTCTGAACTGCTGGGAGAAGCCCGCTGGAACCAGCAGCAAATTTACGTAATATAACTGGACTAAGAATATCTCGGCTTCCCACGTTTGCTGGCTTACAGTCATGGAAGACTGCAAAGAAGAGGTGGAGGGAAAACAAAACAAAAAAAGGAACAAGACTGTACGTAGAACATTTCTGTCCCAAGGACACGGATACCAGAAGTCAGGTCTGACAGAGCAGAGCTCAAGCAGAACACAAAGATGGATTTTCACCTGTGAGAATGATGCAGGACTGCACAGTGCAAACGCCCGTGTAACTGTACACAGCAGAACTCTGGTGTGTGTGTTTGCACTTAACGGACTGATACATGAATCCGAGTGCTGAGATTCCTGTTGTATGCTCACAGAGAACGAGGAACACCAGGTTCTCTTGCTGTCAAACGGCACTCTGCAACACAGCACTGGTAAGCAATGAAAACAACACCTGCTGCTACACTTGAAATATGATTCAGAAGAAAATAATTCAGCACATGAAGATGTAGCACTTGGCAATACACTTCCACAAAAGTTGAACACAACTGCTGAAATGAAAATAATTTTAAGAAGGCTTTTATTGGCAAGTAAATGTGTCCACTTGGTGGCACTAGAAGGTAGTCCCATGTTTTTTTTTTCTGAAAAAAAACATGCAGAAAAAATGAGAACTACTCCCTAGTTCTGAAGGGAGCCTTTACTCAGCAGCGCGTGATGTGGGCACTGCCCATTGAAGGTCGCCCGCGTGGAACCAACTCCGAGCCGCCTGGCCGCAGTGGGCAAGTCAGGGTGAGAAACCATGGTCACCGCAAGCCCAGTCCCACCGCTCGACACTACAGGTGTAAACCAGGACTAAACCTCGAGGATACCAGCGAGTTTTCTGGAGGTCTCACTTAGCACAGAAGGTCTCCAAGAAACAGATGCCTTATAATGCAAAAACCATCGTAATGCCTTAACGCTAAAAAAAAAAAAGCTTCTCTTAGGAGATTTTTAAGCATAGACTACAAAGGGGCTGTGCCAGTAAGAATCATTTTTTAAGCGCAGTGAACAGAGGAGCCCGGCCGCTCTCAGCTCCCCGGGAAGGACACCGGGCAGCACCGGCGGTGGTGGGCAGCTGGTTAAACTGGGTTTTAGAGCAGCTGCTGCGCCGCAGAGCTCGCACAAGCGACTGCGGCTGGTGTCCCGTACCCCCG